ATGCCATGGCTTTGTGTTTCTATTCTATGCAAATATAAAATGTTTTGTCATAATTTTCCTCTTTTTTCTTGTATCTGTCTTATAAATTCTTCATGGAAAAACTGGATGTAACTCAATATATGTTTGGTGATCAAAATAAATTCCACACTTAGAATTTTTGTGGAATACAATTTGCACAAACCATTTTTCCAGCAATACAGGAAGATTTATGTGGCTGATATATCAATAAATAGCATAATTATTAAAAATATGAGGTTCATATATATTTAAAATTTTGAATTACAATTCAACTGAATCTTTCCTTGGGTTTTCCATCACGTATGTTTTTCAGGAAGCCAGGAAATTAACCATACCTATCCCATCATAGTTATGATTTGCTAATTTCAGAACATTGCTCTTTGTAATCTTAAAGCTCAGTTTCCCAGGAGTCTCTAAATGTAACTCTAACTCACGTTAGCTAATTTACTATCAGTACTGATAATATTTCCTACTTCTGATTGACATTGGATGACATTATTCCAGTCATTGCTTTTATCTTCCTGCTCATCCATGAAGTAGAGGAAGTGGCCTGTTTCACTGCAGTATATATCTTTCCTTTTTAAAATAAGAAATAACAATAGAGATGCAAAGATTCTACCAGAAATTGCATCAGGAGAAAATGTGGGTAGTGTCTTAAAGTCCGGCATCAAAATCTACTGAGATTGATTTTTCTCCGGTCAAAAAATGACACACACACACAAATTTGGTGGAAAAAAAAGAAGAGATTTTTCTACTGAAGAATGCAAACAATTGTATGCTTAAGAAAAGAGTTTACATGAAAGGAATTTACATATAAATGTTTGCATCAAATAAGTTCTGTGTTAGAGAGTCAACGCTGAGGTGTCTGTATTTTTTTAAAAAAGACTCCTTGCCTATTTACAGAGCGATTATATAAATTAGGGGAAAATGCATACAAAACGATCACTTACTACAAGATACTGGGCATTAATTGCTCCAATTTCTTTTAGAAAAGTCAAAAAGTCTATATTTTAGAAAATATATATAATTAGGAGAAAAATTCCGGAGTAGAATATAGCCATTTTAATACAGAGAGTAACCTGATAGATTTTTACCAGTTGAACATTTCTACAAAGAAAGACTCAGGATGTGGAGTGGGAGTTTGTGTTGCCAGAAGGTCCCATTTGCCTGGAGTCCAGTTTGTGTACCTGTGGTTTCATTTCTGAAAGGCTTCCCCCTCATCTATATCTCTGAAGAAACTTCTAAGAAATTTACCCTGGGAAAAAATTTCCCGGGTTCAATGAAAGACATAACCCAGACTTATCAGTGCAGGTACTGTGATATCTAACATATAAAAGTGCTCCTGAACGATGTACCTGAACCTACCACCTCATTATTTTCTACCAGTCAGGTGACTCTTGTTGAATGGAAGAAATGTTGCCTACAGAAAAGTATATGATGTAAATTCTGAAAAAGGTTAGGGGTCCCCTTATTATTTTACTAGTTGCAGCTGAAAAACTTCTTCACACCCCATCAACAAATTTCTGAACATCTTATGTTGCCTAGAAACTTGCTAGACTTCCACTGTTTGCAAAAAAAAATAAATAAATCTCACATTCTCTAGATATTTATTTATTCATTTTTATGCATGTACAGATGATGATGTTGATGATGGAGATGATAGCCATTTCTGTTGACCTATCTGTCATAACCTAGATATTCATCATTGTCACCATATGAAAAACATTTTCTACTACTCAAAGGAAAAAGACATCTATATATGAAAATAAATGGTCTTTCCACCAATGAAATGAGTCAGTATCTTTGTCTCATCTAACTTATCTTTAACCTTATCAATAGTCACTGGTTTACTAATAAATACCACATAGTGCTATAGTATAATCAGATAAAAAATGTTATTGTAAAATATCATAAAATCTCTGCCAAGGTAACACATATTGCTTCCTCCTTTGCTTAGTAGAAAAGAAGGCTTTTCCCAAGAAGGATAAATTACACATTTCCAAAGCCATTCCTTAACATATGATATAATATAGCTTCTCTAATTTCTCAGTATAATTCTTTTAGCCCCACCCTCCATGCGTGATTCATCCATAATTCCTAATAAACAGCCAAACTCCAAAGTTTTGGTATATAATTCAATATAATGTTAACAAATTTAATGTATTCCTATAAATCTACTGATACATTATTTGGGGAGTCCAAATCACTCCAAATACAATTTATGTATAAATCAATTTTAATCTCAAATCCATTGTTACCATAATGATGTTTTAAGAACATGAAGCCATTGATGAGGCATTATCAGAGATTCCAATCCTTTAGTCCATGTCTGAAATATCTCAGAAATATCCACTTTTAAATTATTCTTGAGCTTTTGATGGTGCTATCTTATGAGTTTTCCTTCTGTCATGGATTCCATCAAATAAGAGAGCATCTCAGGTACCTCTAAAGTGGCCAAAGCATCTGGCACATATTGAGCCATTCAAAGAAGCCTAAGTAAAAAATATTGTCACTGTTGTGAATTAGAAAGACCAAATTCAATCCGGAGTCAGGAAAACTTACTACATAATAACTGGATTAAAGTCACAATTTTTCTCTTAAACATATATCTCAAATCTTCTACTAGCCCCTCTAATTCACACAGGAGCTTTTCCATCTCACACTCTCTCAAACCTGTGTGTGGCCTTGTAGAAACATGCAGCTTCTCTGTACTTGGTGGGGGTGGGGGGTTCAGAGATGAGCTTTTATATGCCTTCATCCATGGGAAATAAATTACAGGGATAAGTCCTGGTATCTTTGCCTGATTCAGAGAGGAAGTAAGGAAGAGTCCATCTTGCTGCTCTTACCTGCTTCAGTGATAATTCAGTACACCCCAAGGCTGATGTTTCTCATGGGAAGAAGAGAGACTGACCACTGTGCCTGATGCTGCCTGCCAGAAATAGAAATGATGGCGATTGTGACATCATCATGAGGTTGCTATCTGAACAAGGGAAACTGACCCTTGTGACCTGATGCTGCCTGCCTTACAGTGGGTGGCTCTTTCAATTTCAGACTGATCTTCCTTGACTTTGGATGAGAAATTGTTCAGTAGGAGTTATAGTGATATTGCCTGGCTAAATTTGGGGGGTGCGGGGAACCTTCTCAATTAGGATTTCAGACTGGGTAGAAGACTTCTTCCCTATTAAGTTAAACATAAATTTATTTTCTTAACATTCATCCTTATGGCTTGTTGGAATAATTGCATTACCATCCACAAGCTAATGGGTTAGTCTTGTATTCCTTTGTTTTGTAATATTTAGGTCAAGTAATGGTTTATAGTCCAAGAGATTTCTTTCCTTAGAGATCAAAATGAGTGACCAAGGGAGTAAAAGAGTGATCATTACAATTGTCTGGAAGAGATCCAAGATACCACAGAAGCAGAGTTTGGAAGGTAAATATATGGATGTATCAGCAGATACAACATCTGCAAATCATTTGTTATTATTTGTGCATGAATGTGCCCCTACAGACTCTCAAAATGCATTTCCTGAAAAGGATTTCAAATCCATCAACTAGTTTTCCAACTCAACGAACACTGAGTAAGGCAAAGATCCCTAGGAGAAATGATTAATAACA